CTTGAGTACATTTTTGTCTGTGTATTTGTACTTTTACTTAAGTATATTTTTTGAGTACTTTCTCCACCACTGATGGCTACCAGCCAAACTCACATAAACACAACCCAGGGTAGGGTTCTTGTAACTAAATAATAAAGTTGGGTAAGAAGGAAAAAGGCAGATGGATCCATGGATTATTTATGGACCCGCTTGACTTCCAAACTTCCCCTCCTATGACAGACCTGAATATTTACTGTGGCTCCACGTCAAGATGAATCTGATGGGCACATTGTTCTACAAGAACAACTACAATCACTAGATGGTTGTAGTCAATAACTGTAACTTGAGATGCCACTTTGTAATAACTGCTTATTGACTCCAGCGATACTCATAATGATAGTTGGCACAGATCACCTTGAAGTATTGAATGAAAATTTGGTCAAAATTCCAAATTGAGACTGAATGAGACCATCTTTTAAGGAAGAGTTGTACAGATCTTCTGAAGAACTTTTAGAATGAGTCCATCTGTTAAACAGTCACTGCAACAAACCCCGATCTCATTACCTTACCTATGGTCTGTTTAGTAAGTACTTTACTATGTCACTGGTATTGATCCAGAAATTTCTTGTCCATCTTAATGTGGCCATGAAAGATCCAAGTGGGATATCTGTTCCGGGTCAGTTCATCCCTTTCTCAGTTCTGTTCCCCCATCTCCAACCCATTTGTCACTATTTCTTACGCCTGTGCTATTGTGAACCAATTTATTTCCTGTGGTGGCAAAGTGTGTTTGAGGAATTAGGGAAATAAATTGTCATAAGAATATGCAAATCTCTTATACAAGATTTCATAAACCCTTATTTTCATTAATTCTGATTCTGACCCCAAATTGGACAATTTGACTGAGTTTGTGGTCTCTTTATTTAATCAGTATAACAATAATTGTCCTACTGCTGATAGATACTATGTTAGTATTTATCTAGAACAGGGGTGTCAAACTCATTTTGGTTTAGGGGCCGCATACAGCTTAATCTGATCTGCAGGGGGCCACACAAGATTTCAAATGTGTGGCTTCACACATTTGAAATCTTAAGTGTCAGCTGTTTTAAACAGACATTTGATTAAGTACATTTGATGATGCATAAAATGCATACATATAGAAAAACTTGCATACATAACATGTATGTATGTTAGCATGTACGAGAAATATGAGGTTACCAGGGCCAAAATAAAAACTGGTAAAGCATAGAATCGAACTTGTTTACAGAACCTGAAGCTCAGTGCTGCCATCTGCTGTTAGTTCCGCTGCAGTGTTGCATCATGTTGTGTGCGCTGAATAAAACACAGCGCCCCTCGTGGACAGTATAGGAACTGCAGATTTTCAATTAAACGAAGTATATGTTTTTTCATGAATAATGATAATGCATTTAGCCCCCGGGCCGGACTAAATCGTTCGGCGGGCCGGTTCCGGCCCGCGGGCCGTACGTTTGACACCCCTGATCTAGAAAGTTTGTTCGAGAGATGCGTAATTAATTCATTAGAAGATTACCTAAGATCTTCGTTTGCAAATGGGTATGAAATCTAAAGCAGTTATAAATTGGTGCATGTTTGGAATGAAATGTATAGTGGGAAGCTGTTCCTTTAATAGTCGGCTGGATATCAAAAGAGAACACTGTGAATCTTTAGGCTTCACCCAGGCACCACTTTAATGTATTTCCAGTATTGATTCCCTCTCATCACAAATCAACTGATGTCTATAACATGTGCTAAAGAGCTTAAGTGGAAAATGGGCAGAATTCCAACAACTGCCAGCCTGTATTATTAGCAGTGAGAGTGACTGTCATTTTTGTAAAGAACTGCTTCAGAGGCTTATCATCAGTCTAACGGGAGTTTGTTTTTTAATCTGTAACTAAGCTTGACAGAGCTTCTCTAGACTAATCAGGTAAGCAGCTAGCAGAGCAACCAGTAGCTGAACAAATGGAACTCTGTGTAAAAGAACTCCTTTAAAAGCCCTGACTCAGTGGTGGAAACACTGTAGCTCAGTAGGGTTGTTCTGACCTTTAGCTGTAACCAATGCAGTCACTTGTAAGTCACAGCAGAAAGCACAGGTATCTCTTCCCCCTCATCCATCCAAAAATACTATCTTTAAGGCAGTGTGTACCGTGGCCATGAGCTCTTGGGCTTGCCCAGACCAGCTCATATTCTCTGATCCAATCAGCGGAGGCTTATCTCCTCCTCGTCTGAGCCTGCAGCTGCCACCATGGTAATTCCCATACATTTATGTCTACAGAAGCACTGGAAACTATCCACCTAGTCCTTCCATGGCACTTGGAACTGGAAACATTAGTCCTGATCTATGATTACACTTGGTGAGTAACATCAAGAGCATTTGCTCTTGATGTTACTTACCATGCTGCTTCTTAAGGTTGTAACTGCACAGTCTTTTGAAATTGAATGTGGGGCAGCCACTGATGCTGAAGACATAAAACTGAGTGTCAATAATACTCATAATACAATTGAATTGTAATTTGAATGTGTCTTATTGTTGTCATAAGTGAATTTGCTTGTTTAAAATATTCAAAAACTCCCCAAACTAGTGAAAATTGTCCCCCATGTGAAGGGGTGTGGCCAAGCAGCTCTAGGCGCCTCCTAAACTGAGATGGACTAAATGGCACATTGTAGAGACCTGAAATTTGTTGCTAGAACCCTCTATATCAAGAAAAAGTCTCTTGGTCTCTTGGAGGTGTGGCCTAAAATGTACAGGAAGGTGGCCATTTTGGGTCAAAGGGCCACTTTTGCTTTCACACACCTCGAACTTTAGTCAGTGAACTTGTCCTGGAGATTTTGATTTATTAGTTTTATATTTGGTCAGTATACAGTTAGGGGATGGCAGATTAAAAATTATCAAATTCTTTTGTTTTGAAGCATGTTGAGGGAGAGTGGCCAGGTCACAAACATGGCCCCTTCTCCACACATTTGAAAACCTATAACTTTCACATGCAAAGGCCAAGTTGCATGTGTATCTAACATGAGTGATCAATGTTAGATGCATGAACATACTATATGGTCATATCCTGGCATCATCAAAGCCACACCCTCTATGAACAAGAAGTAAATTTTTTAACTGAGAAAAGTCCATTTCCAACCCCTTTCACATAGTCCACTTGACATTTTGTCAGAAGACTGATAACAAGTTGGTTTCACTTGCTTTCAAACACCTAAACTTATTTCTATAGACTGAGGCAGTGTAGTAAAGTCTGACATGACACCATTGTCATATGTTTGGCTCTAACTTCCACATATTTCAGCCGATTTGCACCCAATTTCATATAATCCATCTTTATCCACCAGGAATCAAATCAAATATTTGTTGAGTGTGGCCATATAAAGAAATTTTTAATTAAAATTTTTTGTTAAAATTTCTTTATATGGCTTTATATGGCTATTTGATTTGTTGTTAAAACTCAACAAATCAAATATTTGTTGAGTGTGGCCATATAAAGAAATTTTTAGTTAAAATAAAAATATTGTTTTTAAACAAAATGTTCTTGTTTCCAGTGTGATGATGGTCACGGTGAGGAACAGGGTATGTTTTCTGTCAGTCAGAGTAGCAGCAACATCACAACCAGACAAACCAGTGAATAAAGTGATAACCACATGGACGGAGGTGTTGAGACCTCAACCAGCTGACTGACTGCTTTCAGCTCTCAGAACCACAAAAGGGAAGGCTGCGATGTCTGAAGTGATCTGCCCAATGAGGGAAATGTTTAGCTGTCAGTGTTGCTCTATTTGCCTTTTAAAGCTGGCCTCCAGCTGTAAGCAGGAATCAGACTCCCTGCACACAACTGGAGCTCTTCTGCCAAGAGTTATTGTCCACAGTCTGCATGAAGCCGCTCTCCCAAAGTTCAGTGATTCGTCTATGAGCAATTGTAATAACAATGCATCTGCATTTGTTGTTGTCCACCATTCCCAGACAGTTCCACCAAAAAAGTGTTTCAGTCAGATTTTTTAAAATCTAGATTAGAATCAAAAAGTCCAGGTGTGTGCTATGGTGGTGTAGGGGTAGGCCACAATGTGTGTATGAATCCTGGGTCCGTGGCAATGCGGTTACAGGTTAGAGTCCCAGCTGGATGACGTTTGCCTTTCCTCTCTCTCTGTGTTACGACCCCAGGTCTACAGGATCGGGGTGGCAATATAAAAATGAGTTCAGAGAAAAACAAGTGGAGCATAAAATGCCTATTACAAAAAAAGGTTTCACCTATTAGAGTACACTTTAACACGTTTAACACTAGACTACACTCAAAACAACCTAAAATGGTCAGGGGCCGTAACACTCTAATTGCCCACTTTCTGTCTGACCACACTCAAAGGCCTCTAGAACCAATAAAACCTTTAAAAAAAGAATTAGAGTCCTAAATTGTTTTTCTGCAGGCTGCTGGAAATGCTGTGAAAAGGGCATCAGACAACCTGGTGAAAGCAGCTCAGAAAGCAGCGTTTGATGCTCAGGATGACCAGGCTGTGGTGGTCAAGAGTAAGATGGTTGGAGGCATTGCTCAGGTAAGTCATGTCAGCACAGACCGAACACATTTACATGTAGCTACAAACTGGGACAAGATGAAGATCTAAAGCATTATATACATGCTTGTAGAGATTGTTCTGAAATCTCATGAATAACTCGCATATCATTTTGCTCTTCTTGTCTGCCTTTCGTTCACATTATAAAATAAACCTTTTTATTACCATATTAATTTACGAATATGTCTTGATTAAAGTATTTGTACATTTTTACAGTATCTGAAAATGGAGCTAAATAATAATGTTTTAACCTTGTGGTAAACCCCAGGGAAACAGAAAGTCATGTGTTACTGGCTCGAAGTTCTCAGAAACTCATCACCTTGATGAAGTAAAAAGATAATTCAAGAAAAATGTTAAGTGACATTTACATTGTTGGGAAAGTTTGGGATTTCAGTAATTATTTATTACTATATTAGCTTTCAAAAACAAACATTTAAGCCTAAGCTCAAAGCTATCCTCAGAAGAGAATAAATGTTCACTAGTTTCATTTTCCTGTGAGTTTGAAGCTGCTCTGATAACCTCCGGTGGATCTTTCAGATTATCGCCGCTCAGGAGGAGATGCTTCGGAAAGAAAGGGAACTGGAGGAGGCAAGGAATAAGCTGGCCATGATCCGAAAACAGCAGTACAAGTTCCTCCCCTCAGAGCTGAGAGAGGATGGCCAGGACCAATGAGAGTGTGGGGGGGAGGTGCCAACAAACCGCAAATCAGCAACGCAAATCATTGTGAAACGCTCAGGACCTAATGCTTCATATCAGATCAGTTCTAACAGCAAGTCAAACTCCATGTCTACAGTAACATATCAGAATGCTTTAACAGTAGAGCAAGAATATGCTAAATAGTATATCATGACAGTAATGATAAATGTTTGCTTATACTGAGACATATGCCTTCACGTGATAATTAAGTTATGTATGCTTCTAATGATATATGTTTATATTCCTTAGAAAGTGAGATTTTTTACGCTTCTGTGTTCTTGATGTGAGGCTTTAGAAAGCCATACCAGTTCATTCCTCTGCCCTTCTCTCTCGGACTCTGTTACATCGCATTGCTATGAAAATGGATTATTATGGCAGGTTTATCCTTCAGTGACAATCTATGCAAAGTTTCTAAGCAGATTTTTATGTTTTATTTTTAGATATATATCTAAAATATATATATGTATGCATTTTCTTGGGTCTGAACACACTTCCAAAGAGTCTTGATATGTAGGTGGTAGTTAGTAATAGACATTTCTGCCATTTTGTTTGATTATTTTCCTTTTACTGTACAAAACTATAAGAAAAATAAAATGTTTGAATTTTATAGTTTAGAACAAGACTATTTTAAACGGATTAGTTAAAAATCAGTATTTTTAAAAGAATAAAATGTGTTCAACAGATGTGATCTTTGAGTTAGTATTTAGACCAGGATCTGATTGGAGGACTAGTTTGTGTAGTGAGTATGAAGCCATATATTTAATGTCCACAACTTTTACATCAGTCTAATGTTTGCTGGACTGATGTTTATTGATCCATTCCACTGAAATGTGTGCCAAACATGTCTGCCAGAGGTGTGACACACATCTGGACCAATACTCTCATGTTCAGCTGTTTTAGAAACGTACATCATCGTTAAGAAGAGTAACATTTGTGCTTAAAAGATGTCCTCTCTTTCAAGTTAAGTATTAATGTCTGGCCATTTGTTCCTAAAGTGCAATAATTTCATCACTCTACTCAATAAAAGTAGAAGTAGCTTTATTTCCTTTGGAGTGTTTAAAACTAACCATCCACTGTGCCATGCATAGGTTTCAGTCATTCATCATTCAAACTTTTTTATAGACCATGATTTGAATTGACTTATTGTTGGAATTCAGGTGAAGAGTATTTCTACCCAATGGGCACTGTCATACACAATAAAGCCTATTTTCACTGAAATTATTCACATCCGTTTCTTTACTTTATTCCTCTCATTTAAGACAAGTTATCCACTGACTTCTGCCAGGAAAACCTTTGTTTGGGAAAATTACCAACGAAAATCCTGATATCTTTTTATTGTAAAAAGAATAATATAGTGAGCCACATCCTGTCTCTAACATACCTGTTACTTTTATTCAGTATTCCATGGCACTTGGTATTTGTTTTTACCGTAATATTATGTGTCTTTGATGTTGGGATTATCTCTAATCACAGGCCACCGTAGTTCATGCTACTCTCCTATTGAACTCTATTGTCTTTGAAGAACTCAGTTCTAATAACTTCAGTGGATATGCATCATCACATCACTGTGGTTGGGTATGATGTTTGCCTCTTGTTTTTGATTCTAAATTATTTGCCATCCTATTATTGTATCTGCTTTTCACCCACTCAGTTGATAAAGTGATTCTTTTCTATTCTCACATTTCTGCAAGGTTGAGGTCAGAGTAGGCCATGTAGCTTAATGTTTGGTTTTGGATGGAATAGATTGAAAAAGGCAATGTTTTTGTTTAGGTTTATTGTCTCATTCAAAAACCAAGTGGTGTCCAGAATTCGTCCACCTACATGCTGATCTGAAGGGAAGCTGTATAATTTGGAAAAAACGAAAGTTGTCAGAAACGAAAGAAGAAAGTGAACAGCTGTTGGAGCTGTGACTGCCACTAACACTCTGACAACTTAGAAGATGGCTAAATAAAGCATCTGTTGCTACAATTGAAGAAGGAAGTTGATGCTTCTTAGTTGATGAAGCAGTGTTTTTGAACTCAAAGTTCAAACTGAGTTTCAGATGTGAAAGTCCTTGATCCTTGGAAGCTCCAAGGTGACGCCTACAGATCCTTTAAGGCCTGGAGGAGAGCGGGTTAGAGGAATTCAGCACATTTCACAGAGTATGGACAGAGATCTGTAGAATATGGTGGCCTAACATCATGTAAACACACTCACACAAAACACACATCATCCAAGGATCGCATTAATTAGAGGAGCAGCAAAGGAGGGTGTGGAGTTTTTCACGATGTAAGTTGTCTCAAGCTGAATGATGACGCATCAGACCTGTTTCATTCACACACAGTGGGCAGCGCTGGCTGTCTAAATATGGACAATGACTGGTGCTGAACTATGTGGTTGGAGCGGCTGTAGCTGTGGGAGGGGTGCAGGTGGGGGGTGTCCATCTGAGAGCTGTTCCAGAGTCTCTCAGTAGTCTACATCCTCACAGCGTGTCCTGTCCTCCTGTCTGTCTACATCCGGATAACAAAGTCCTCTTTTCTGCTCTGCTGAGAGCCCTGCAACAAACGCAACCATGGAGGCCATCAAGAAGAAAATGCAAATGCTGAAGCTGGATAAGGAGAACGCGATAGACCGGGCAGAGCAAGCAGAGGTTGACAAGAAGGGAGCTGAGGACAAATGCAAACAGGTGGGGCCAAAAAGAACCTTAGTTTCACACCAAAACCAGCATCTTCTCCTAGACAGTCCATTGTGGACTCTCTGCTGAACATATTAGTATAAAAATATTAGTGAAGAAATGTTGGAGGAAAATACCTCTTCTATTAATCTACAAACAAAACTTGTGAAAGCAAAGGACAAACAGCTGTGTGTAACAGATTTCAGATTTTAAAAGGCTGTAGCTAATAACAAAGATCACTTTAGACTTGAAATCCAACAGTAAAACATTCAAGCAGCCAACACTTTGATGTCTTCCTTAACAATGTACCAGAAGATGTTGGAAGCACCAAAATTCAATTTCTCTCATTAACAATCAGTTTGTCAGAGACTCAAATAATTCTCAAAACTTGGGGATTTTGATTTATTTATTGTTTTCCTACTTAATGAACAACAACCTTCAAACGGTGCAAGAGAACTTGATTCAGATTCTGGTTGCAACGTTTTTTATGCATTTATTAAAACATAAATGTCAAGACATGAGATCAGAGCCCTCATCACTAGTTTTGATCAACATATAGTCATCTTTGAGAGAAGATTTTACTGACTGGAGGCAAACAAGCTGCACACCTCATCCTGTTTCTTCCATCTTAGAGTTAATTTATAAAGTTATCTGCAGCAAAGATGACAAATTTAAATCAACAGTAAACAGACAAATCATTATGCTAAAAAAAGAGTTGGGTGTCAACAATTTCTATCTTCTAAATTCCAATATTATAAAGTGGGGGGGAAAACCCCCCACAAAATAATTGTTTTTAATTTTGTTTCTTTATATGAGATTTAGATTCTACATACCCATTTAATAAATTAGAACAGCATTTAAAAGTCAATGTATTGACTTTTAATTTATTAACTTTATACAGATAAGTTGTTACATATGGATGTTTGAAAGGCTTTGTGTTAATTATGATGATTTTCTGTTAACTAATGAAATTATGACAGTTAAATAATATTTATAATATTTCACCAGATCAATAAAAAAACTATTTTTAAAAACACAAATGTAGATTTAATAAAAAGTATGTGTAATACTGATGACTAAGTATTAAACAAAGATTCCAAAATAAATATTTTTGTTAACTTCTACAGACTGAAATAAGAGAACTGCTCTGTTGTGTAGTTGTGGTGTGTTGTGCTGCCTCTTGACGTGACCGCTCTATGGATGAAGCTGATTTCAGGAGCTTGTATCTGGGTTCTTGTTCTTTTGGGCACAAACAGCAGTTCTTGATCATTGGTGAGGGTCAAAATATAGACTGTAAAATCAAGAACTGCTTTTAAGTGAGGCTGTCTTCATTAGGGTGTGTTACTGTGGATGAGTCTGCTGCCTTTTCATATCCTACCAACGTTACTCAATAAGACATCAAGATACCGGATTTCGTCCTTGAGGGAAAGATGATTCCCAGCTTGAAGCAGCAAAGAGAAAACAGATCCATGGCCAAACGTATTTATAATTCTTGACTAAATGCAGATCAAATGATTATTTGCTACTTTTCTTGAACAATTCAGAAAAAAAAATGTGCATAATATAGCTGCATGGTCTGCACAACAGATTACCGCAAAACACTGACATCAGTCACACCTGCAAATGGCATTTCATTTGCACACATTATTAAGTTGAAAATATTACCAGTTTTAAGACCTCTTGGCTAAGTTCAATTCTTCCATTCTTCCAAACATATCCTGTCAAACTCATTGCATTGGTGGGGAACAGCTTTGCTTTTTGATCAATTCTTCTGAGTCAGTCTCCAGGTTCTGTCACCCAACCATCCAGTACATCATCATAGATTAGCCTGCAGGTTCTGTAGAATGAGTTGGTAGTTTATATGATGTGCTTGTTGTTATAAGATGTTTAGGGAATTTATAAGATTATTTTTGTTTGGTATAGGAAGAGTTGGTAGTTTACATCTTATGTTGGTAGCTGATGTGTGAACTTATGAGCTTGTGATGAGACAGACTAATATATACAAATATTGGTTGAAATACCTGAAACACAAACACTCTTTGTTTTATTTATGTTCTCTTTTTATGTAAAGATCAGAATCTCTTTAGGCCGATAGATGAACTGACCCTAACCTTCCTCTTGATGCAGGACAGCTTCTAGCACCCTTTGCAAGCACTGACCAATCAAGCTGAATGATGGGCCATGCCATAATGCTATGTCAGTTTTTGTTGAAAGCCACCATGATGGTTTAAGCCTCTTTCACAATCAGTTTATGCATCCATTATTTCACTGTACTGATACTGATGTTTGCTTCACACCTGATCTGCTCTGAGAAAACATGAATTCTCTCATTGCTTTGATCTTGTTGGGTTCTGATCACCAAACCCACCTCAGTGGGTCATATGCATCAGGACACAGGCTGTGAACTGTACCACACTGACACTATACAGAACAGACATGCACTGAAAAACCTCTTATCAAACTTTACATAAAACCCTGTTGTTTCTTTCTTAATTTAGAAAGAAAATCATTCAAAACTGCACAAGTTAACAGCAAACCTAACTCTCCTGTTTAGGAGCATGGTTTTGTGCACTAGAGCAATTTTTACAGCCCACAACTGCAGAGTAGTGAGCAGCCTTATGTCAGCCAGAGTCTTTTCTCATTCTTTAAATCTGTTTTCATTCTTTTTTTTTCATTGACATATCAACAAGGCATCTACGATTCTTTCCCACTTTGACTGCAAAGACTACACATAATAACTGTTCAATGAATTTGCTTTTGATTTAGAAACACAAACCTGCTCAGGATTCTTCCCTATGGGACTGTTCTTTAGGTGTCACTAAGAAAGAAGAAGTTAAATAAACTTCTGACCTCTGACCTCAGAGAAGGATGGTTGTTCAGTTAATAATCTGTTCCAAGCCAACCAGTCTCATCACATTTGCTATTGCCAAACTATGTTTTCATTGGTCATTTTTTCAAATACTGACATTATTAAACATTCAGCATTGCTCAAGTTTTTTCTCTGAATGTCATGACAAAATTGTCAAAAATAATTTTAAAATCATTTATTAAAATTCAGATGTACATGACATCACAAGCAGACTGGACTGTGCTTTCTCTGTAATTTTCACGCCCTGGATCATCTGCCTGAAAGATGAACAGATTTTGTCGACTTCAGCCGGTGATAGCTGGGTCAGTCTATCCACTCAGAAGTCTCATTGATTTTAAGCACTTTTTTCTGTAAGTCAGAGATAGTCTGTTGGAGGAGACAAGCACTGTTTGTTAAATGCTGAAAGGCCTTTACTTGCATAGCTCTTTATTAAGTCCAGGGAACCACAAAGTGTTTCACACTCCATCCAGTCATCCACACATTCACACACTGATGGTAGTGAGCTACTGGATAGTAGCCACAACTGCCGTGAGGCAGGGAGAGACCAGGAGAAAAGACAGGTGACACAATGACAGGACCAGCATCCCACTGATTACAGGACAAACACCACAGCCACGAGTTGCTAATTTAACATTAAACTAGCAACTCTTTATTCTAAGCAACATGTTAATCTATTCATATTTCTGCAGAGCTGTGTTGCTTCCTCTGCGGCGGCAGCATTAGGTTGTTTAAAGAGATGATCCCACCTCCCAGCGGGCGGCTTACTGCTGGGGCTGTTACTTTCTCTAGTTGCAGCTGACAAGATCAGGTAGCAGTGTATTTATAAGTGACATTATTTTAACCTCAGATCTCATTGTTCCCAGAGGAATCCAACTGGGAGTCAGAAGAGATCCTGCACTTCTGCATTTCTTTGTTTGGGAGTATTGAAATCTGGAATGTCTATTTCTGTATTCCCTCTGCAGATCACCACCTTGTTTGAATTGTTGCTGTGGGTTATGGAGGTTGAACTCTATTTGTGAAATAGAAACCTTAGATGGCTGGAGGCTGGGGGAGGATGGGATGCCACAGCTCAAATAGAAAGGACATTTGTTCTGGGACATTGTCACCAGGCCTTTAACTCTGCTTTACCCCAAGCTTTTTATAGTCCTTTAAGCTGCAACTCTCTTTGAGAGGAGTCACTGGTCAACAAAAGGACAAATTAAATCTAGAGCAGATGGTTATATTCTAAAACAACATTTTAACATCACTCTTTGTGAAATGGATTATTTGAATCATGAAATAAAGAAGGTTCTGTTGTTAGATCTTTGCATTGTTATTTGTTGCTCTGTGTTCAGATTTTAGCCTGTAGTTTGGTGAAACTTGGCTAAAAGGTTAACTTTCTCTCACTGTGTTTTCCAGTCATCAAGGTTAATAGTAATTGATGGTCACAGAAGTGTGATGCATTTTCTTTGATGATAAATCAGAACCATTACTCCTTTTCCATTTTTGGGTTTATTGTTATACATCCATGTAATGTCCCAAATTAGCACATTCAGCTATTTCACTGTGTAAAGAAGTCACACATAAGAGTAGCAGTGATAAACTTCTATTTTCATATCACATAGCCTATGTTTATATCAGAAAGCAAGTGTTTTCCTTTAGTTTATATTCTATTTAGCTTCTATTCTATTCCCCATAATGTACTGGCAGAACAGACAGACCAAGCTTTGCTCTGCCTCTGGGTTTTCCACAGACGAATTAATTAAATAATTTTATTTTAGAAAAAGCCAGTACTTGCTTGTAAGAATACTTAAAAGTAGTTGCTGAATTTATTCTCTACAATGGTCTAGAATATCATTTAGTGTGCCTAAGTATATACTCTATATATTTTTAAATACATCAGTATTTAAAACAATGCCTTTTTAATGAACAAGGCTACAGAAAATTAATGTTTTAATTATGTTTTCGCTCTGTGAGAAAGTTCACACTTAGACTTTAGATTCTGTGCATCAGAATTTCAGGGATGACCTGCAGCAATAAATGCTATTAAGCAATACGAGAGGAATGATTATGCATTTGAAAGTTTTTATTAAACACAAACCAAAAAAAAAGGTGGTGTTTAAGCTGCAGTAAACACATTCAAGTATAAGTTGTCTGCCTAAAAATAGGGCAACTAGACACTCCTAACAAAGAACTGATCATTTCACTAACATTTCAACTCCAGTTTATCATCAATTAATAAACAGCCAAAAATACAATGTAACATGTAATGCAACACATTATAGAAATGTAATGGAGTAGAAAGCACTCTCTAAAGATCAACTCAAGTAATGTTCAGACATGAAAAAACTTACTTAAAGTACAGTAATGAACTACTCGTACTTCACTATATTACACCACTGGGAAGGAGTCATTTAGTTTACAGATTTGATGAAAAAGTGGCACAAAATTCTATATAATTCTGTATAGTTTTTTGGCTGAGTCACTGGCTGATTTAGTCTGCCCATCTGTTACATGTGTTCTGTCTCTATTAAACAGAGTCAGCTCTTCGACAGTGCATTGTATTGACAGTATTCTGGACGCCTTCAAGCAAAACTAGATGTCGCCTTCTGTGCGACACGTTCCAGTGTAAATGATGTGAATTACATTAACGTTAACTGAACACTGACAGATAATTAAACAACCAATTATCTACTGATAGACACATTGAGATACATTGTTGGCCAGAGTTTTAAACTGTCAGCTGTTCTTCCTAAAAACTATAGGATATCCTCTCATGAAAATGAGAAACACTGGGCAATAATGATAGAATATTACATCATGAATGTTTCAGTAAAATAAATTGAAACAAATTAACATGTATTGTATGTGCCATACAATACATGTTATTTATTTACTGATTTATTTAGCTGTCTATCCAACTTTGTGCAGTTCCATAATACAATCCTACAGATTCACCATTAGGTGTTTTCTAATGCAATAATAATGTTAATATTTAATTTTAAAGGAAAAATTACATTTGTCTAAATGTCACCTTACTAAGACATTGTTAAATGTTAATACCTCCATAATAAAACTGTTACATCATAGAAGCATCACACATTTTTGTAACATACAAATTTATAATGAAATACAAACTTACATTTGAGAATTTTAAAGATTGTTTTAAAAGGTAAAAAAAACAACAACTTTAATTTATCTATTTAAGATACTGCAAATCAAATATGCATTTTAATAAATAGATCAAACTTCATCTTAAAAATGCGTAAGGAAACTGAAATCAATAGGTAGGAAATCTGATCGTATTAATTTAAACATTGATGTTAAGTTTCTTCTGCTGGAAGATTTTAAATAAAAATATTTTTAGTAGAAAACCTTGCATGAAAATACAATCTTCTAGACCCTTGAATCACGCTGTCAGTTGTCTGTGTCTGTGTGTCTGTCCTGCAGCTGGAGGAGGAGCTGCTGGGCCTGCAGAAGAAACTCAAAGGGGTAGAAGACGAACTGGACAAATACTCTGAGTCTCTGAAGGATGCCCAGGAGAAGCTGGAGCAAGCAGAGAAAAAGGCAGCGGATGTGAGTGCTAGTACAGTACAGCACAGTGGATTGCAGACAAGTAGTAACAGTGTTACTGAATGTTTAGTATACTTTCTTAAGCTGGTCTTTTGTAAAAAAAAAACAAAAAAAAAACAAAATAAAACAAACAAACAAAACAAAAAAACAGGACTCTGGTTACAGACACAGCTCGGCATGATTTACAAATTTTGACCATTTCCTATTTACCGCCACAGAACTTCCCATAATATCTATGATGTAAAGATTATTTCTTGTAAAAATTGCTGATTCCTCCTGCTGCAGACAGCAACTGCATAAATGGCATCAGAACAAACAATACGGTCAACAATAAGGTCACCATCATAACTAGTAGTCTTGTTGAATAAGATAGGAGGACTCTGAAAGTCTAGATAGTTCCAGTTGCAACAACATCTATGCGATTTCCCTTTGGAATGAATAAACCTTTATCAGTTTGATTTGAACTGAAATAAAATAAAATACTGGAATTATACTGTCTGCAGCAAAATAGGGACGCTTTAACAGGTTTGGTTATCTGTAAATGAAATAAATTAACATTATTTTGAAATTATAACGGGGGAACTTTCCGGAGCGGTTGCCATGGAAACGCCGTGACGCCGTTGGGAAGTTTGGTGCTGAACTTTCACAGAATGGCGACCTTGACATCCATAGACGCTGTTAGGAGGAAAATCCAAAACCTGCAGCAGCAGGCTTACGAGGCGGAGGACCGGGCCGAACTCTTCCAGACGGAGGCGGATATGGAGAGGCAGGCCAGAGAGAGGGTAACCACCGGGGCCGGACCGTCCGGCCTCCAGGGGGCGCTGCTCCGTCACTCCCTCATTTATTCGCCATTAGGTTTGAGGGCCAAGATCATATTCGACCTGATCATTAATCATTTTAATTCAAATGGTCTAACTAATATAACTTTGCCATTGCGAATGTAGTTCATGAACTCTATAGTGTCGTCACAGCCGGTCTGCTCTATTTGTAAACCGGCGCGTCGAGAGCGGCGGTGGCGCTCCTCAGACAGATCAGCGGATTCTAACGTAACAGAATTGATTCAGTTAGCAGCAAAAGAGTTTAAAATGAATAATTAATAAAAAGCCAGGCAGCGGAAACAAAACCACACAACACTGAGATTTTCTGTATATTTATGCATTCATTGGATTTTTCATCAATGACTGAACTGTAACTTAAAGGTATTACAGGGAGAGAACACCCAGATAGCACAGAATCATTGAAACAACATTGAATCAATGTCAGCCAGAAACATTG